CCCCTCAGGTCCCTTTTATGTCTTTCCTCTCTCACCTTAAACCTCTAGTTTTGGACTCCCCTGCCACGGGGGAAAAGACCTTGTCAATTCTCCCTATCCATGCCCCTCATGATGTTATAAACCTCTATAAGGTCATCCCTCAGCCTCCGATGCTCCAGGGAAAATAGCCCCAGTCTCTCCCTGTAGTTCAAACCCTCCAACATCCTTGTAAATCTTTTCTGAACCCTTTCAAGTTTCACAACATCCTTTCTATAGCAGGGAGACCAGAATTGAACACAGTATTCCAAAAGTGGCCCTAACCAATGTCCTGTACAGCCGCAATATGACCCTCCCAACTCCTATACTCAATGCACTGACCAATAAAGTCAAGCGTACCAAACACCTTCTTCACCGCCCTGTCTACCTGTGACTCCACTTTCAAGGAACTATGAACCTATGAACCTGCACCCCAAGGTCTCTTTGTTCAGCAACACTCCCCAGGACCTTATCATTAAGTGTGTAAGTCCTGCTCTGATGTGTCTTTCCAAAAATGCAGTGCCTCGCATTTATCTAAATGAAACTCCATCTGCCACTCCTTGGCCCCATCTGATCAAGGTCCTGTTGTACTCTGAGGTAACCTTCTTCGCTGTCCGCTACACCTGCAATTTTGGTGTCATCTGCAAACTTACTAACTGTACCTCCTACGTTCACATCCGAACCATTCGTATAAATGACGAAAAGCAGTGGACCCAGCCCCGATCCTTGTGGCACGCCGCTGGGTCACAGGCCTCTATAGTCTGAAAGGCACCAAGACCCTCGGCCTGCTGTGTTCATCCAGCTCAACACCTTATTATGTCAGACTCCAGCATCGACAGCTCCTACCACCCTCTGTCTTCTACCTTCGAGCCAGTTCTGTATCCATATGGCTCGCTCTCCCTGTATTCCATGTGATCTGACCTTGCTAACTGGTCTACTGTGAGGAACCTTGTCAAACATCCATATGGACAATGTCCCTTGTTCTGCCTTCATCAATCCTCTTTGTCACTTCTTCATAAAGGATTGTTTTGGTTAGAGGGCAATCCGACAGAAGTATATAAGATTTACAAGAGGCATAAAAAGGGTGAAAAGTTAGGAATCTTTTCCTCTAGAGTGGAAATGTCAAATACTTGTTGGGGGACGTAGGCTTAGGATGAGAGCAGTATAGATAAGCTGAATGTCTTTTCCCTAAGTTGGGGAATTTCAATTCTCGGGGGCATATTTTTAAGGAGAGAGATTTAAAAAAGACACGAGGGGCAATTTTTTTGCACAGAGGGTGGTTCACGCGTGGAATGAACTTCCTGAGGAAGTGGTGGATGTGGGCATTGTTACAATGTCTAAAAGACATGAATGGGAAAGGTTTGGAGGGATATGGGCCAGGAGCAGGCAGGTAGGGGCTAGTTTAGTTTGGGGTTTGTGGGCTGAAGGGTCTGTCCCAGGCTGTGCTGTGATTGGAAGGGATTGTCCAACATTCAAACAGGACTTCCTCCACGACAACCCTCATTACTGGCAGCCTCCATAAGGATGCATCCTCAGTCTCCTGCTGTATTCCCCCTACACCCACGATCACACAGTCAAATTCTGCACGTCTGCACATTCGCTGACAACACCAACGTAGGAGGATGGATATCAAGCCTCGATGAGTCAGGACACAGGAAGGAGCTCCAGGGCTTGGTGAAGATAGCAATCTCTCCCTCAGCGTCAGCAAAACTGAAGAGCTGCTCATCAACTCCAGGAAGAAAGGAGGAGGACACAGCCCTATCTACATCAACAGAGCTGAGGTTGAGAGGGTGGAGAGCGTCAAGTTCCTCGGAGCGACGATAACTGACGAGCTGTCCTGGACTTCCCACGTAGATGTGACAGTCAGGAAGGCACAACAACGCCTCTTCTTCGTCTGGTGCTTCAGGAAATTTGGCACGTCCCATAAGGTTCCTCACCAACTTCTACAGATATACCATTGAAAGCATACTGTCTGGGTGCATAGTGGCCTGGTATGGAAACTGCTCTGCCCAGGACTGTAAGAAACTACAGAAGGTGGTGTGCACAGCCCAGACCATCACGGAAGCCAACCTCCCATCCATGGACTCCATCTACATTTCTCACTGCCTCAGAAAGGCTGCCTGCATCAGCAAAGACCCCTCCCACCCCCATAATACTCTCTTCCAACCTTTTCCATCAGACAGAAGTTTGAACACATGCACCAACAGGTTCAAGAACAGCTTCTTCCTGGTGAATGGACCTCTCCAATTTCAAATAATGTTGATCTGGCTTTGTGCACCTCCTTGCAGTGTAACCTTATATGCCTCACTTTGTCTAAGCATCTGTATGTCCTCGGTTGCTGTGATCTGCCTGCACTGCTCGCCAAACAAAACTTTTCACTGTACTCGGGCACATAAAGGAAGGATGCTGCGAAACTTGAAAGGGTTCAGAAAAGATTTACAAGGATGTTGCTGGGGTTGGAGGGTTTGAGCTACAGGGAGAGGCTGAATAAGCTGGAGATCTGGAGGCTGAGGGGGTGACCTTACAAAAGTTTATAAAATCATGAGGGGCATGGATAGGGTGAATAGCCAAGGTCCTTTCCTCCAGTATGGGGGAGTCCAAAACTAGAGGGGCATAGGTTTAAAGTGAGAGGGGAAACATTTAAAAGGGACCCAAGGGGCAACTTTTTCACGCAGAGGGTGGTGCGTGTATGGAACGAGCTGCCAGAGGAAGTGGTGGAGGCTGGTACAATTACAACATTTAAAAGGCATCTGGATGGGGACTTGGATAGGAAGGGTTTAGTGGGATATGGGCCAAACCACCCTAAACATGCACATCCCTGGGCACTATGGGACAATTTTCTGTACTGGACACCTCTATAACTCTAAATGGGATTAGATTAATGTAGGATATTTGGATAGCATGGACGGGTTAGGCTGAAGGGTCTATTTCTGTACTGGACACCTCTATGACTCTAAGTGAGACTGGATTAATGTAGGATATCTGGGTGGCATGAATGGGTTGGGCGGAAGGGTCTGTTTCTGTACTGGACACCTCTGTGACTCTAAATGGGACTAGATTAATGTAGGATATCTGGATAGCATGGATGGGTTGGGCTGAAGGCTCTGTCTCTGTACTGGGACACCTCTGTGACTCTAAATGGGACTAGATTAATGTAGGATAGCATGGATAGCATGGATGGGTTGGGCTGAAG